GGGGGGGGGGGTCAAGTTGGGTGGAATTGTCCTAAAAACAACTTATGAATTCAATATTTAATATTCAAAAATTTTAAGGGATACCTGTGAAAATATTTATTTTAAACTACAATTTTTGACAAGTTTGGTTGTTTGTAAGTACACAGCTCTTAATGTCAAACAGCAAACTGTTGTAAGATGTAATTATAGTCATACTGAAAACTATGAAAATATAAAACTAATCTTGCTGGTTGCAGAGATGATAGAACCAGATAGAATTTATTGTGGTAGGTGTGATCCTACAAAGCATTTTACTCTTATCCATCCCCATTGCCTCCAACATGGTACAAGATGTCCCCCCTCATTTATTTAATTAATCATTTATTCATTTTTGATCATATCATCATTTTCACAAAGAGGCACTTACCACATCTTGTGGGATGTTGAAATGACAAAGGGTAAGACAACCATTTCTCAGCATCTGAAAAATGTTAAAATAAAAGCTCGTAAGTTTTGATATACATTACACATGTATCAGTTAAGTCAAAAAGGAGCAAATGATATAATTATAAAAGAACAAATCTCATCAACACTGACAATTTTTGTTTAATTCTGAAAACTTTTCATGGAACCAAACATTCAGGCACCATTAGAACTGAACTGAAATGGCAATTTCTAAATTATGTGATATTGTGGAAAAAGCTCATTATCTGTTAATGAACAAAGATTGATGCTTTTATGTGTCATACCATTCATGCCACTTTTCAATTTGTATGTAATGGTTTTTACATCATGGTTAAACATAATCTACAATGACATCAATAATTTGTTGTAAAACCTGTAAAAAGGTCCACAGAAGTGAGAAGGTCATGTTGAACTTTGTGACAAGTTAACCTCATCCAAACTGACAATAAGAGAGACTGACAATTGCAATAAGTCAATGCAAGTGTGATGCAAAATCAATACACCATTGTTTGAGATCAACAACCTTGATTTAGCCTGCCAAATTGTGCTGAAGGTGGTAATTTCCAGGCTAAAAAATAAGGGATAAAACCCACACGGATAGTGGACAAAATTGTTCTAAATCAAAACCAGTTACCAGAACCTTACAGATCTGCTGACCTAGCTAAGTTAATGCTACGTCTGGAAAAACAGCAGAACTTTTCATCACATGCCCTAACAAGTTTCCTTAATGGAACTATTCATTCTTGTATAATGTAGCAAGCATTAGACACTTAATGGATTGAGTGCTTTTAACAGTGCGTACCTAATTACACCTGCTAAATACATCTGAAGGCGCCATTAAAAAATTACGGAATTTGCCTTTGGTGATAAATGCATTGACGAGGAAATGACCATGTAATTTGCAACGGTGTAGTGTCAACGAGGGGCCTGAATGGACACATGTACGAGTGGAATACTGGAAGTCATTTTCTGAAATGTTTCTACAACTAACAGCCTTTACACTGCCAAGATAAACAGGAACTTTTAATCTTTCCAAATTTTTTATCTCCAATTGTTAGTGATTTTCCTTTAATGTCTGCAATAAATGTAGTAATTACACACAAGTTATGAGCACCTCAGCCATTCTAAATACCAGCTGTTTCAGTATTGCAAGATTTATTACTTTCAGGTTAAAAAAAGTCTGAGTTTACACAACTCATCACTGACAATATTGAACATAGAATTTTTTCATATATTACATACAAACTTCAACATGCAGCTTAAATTTCACCCATCAAATTCTCTCCAATTTGGTGAGTGATTAAATATTTGCCATGGTGTTATCAGCGTTCAAGCATCCAATAAAAGAGCTTGTTTGTGTCATTTTACACAGTAAACTAACAAAATGACAGTAGCATATTGAAACACAGTCAAGCAGTCAGCCAGTCTTCTCCCTCTCTCTCTCTCTCTCTCTCTCTCCTTGCACAACAAAAAGTATGCAGGTGAAATATGACAGACTTAATAAACAACTCACAGTGTCCTCATCCACATGATACTCCATAGCATCTAACAATGCCATCACTAGACGTCTGAAAAAACAGGGTGAAAACTAATGAAAAATTGGTAAATTTTATATTCAGTGTTTCTCCTGGTTTTAATATGGGTTGGTTATTAAAGATTGTGAGCCAACTTTCATTAGAAGAGGTAATGCTGCTCAAAGTAAACAGGCCATTGTTTAGCAAAGCATTGTACACATTAGCACCTGCAATCATTTCCTTTTAAACTAAGATTCCCAAGACTTCAGGCAAGCTGAACAATATTCTTGTAACAAATAGTTATTCATTTATGGGCAAAAGAAATATTGTAACACAGGGGGCATTACAATCACAGTTTTAACATGGCAGTCAAAAGACCCTTTCACATAAGACATGCAATCTTTCGTGTTCCAGCTCCATTTTGCTTTGAGATATTGACAGCTTATAAGAATGGTTATTAAGTACAAAAATTACCTAGTAAAATGGGGGTCCCACACTCAACTGACCATATAACTTTTAAAATAGATATAGTTTCCGCTCAATGCCACTTTGCTCAATATCTACTATACTTTTTTGGTGTTAAAAAGCAAACACTGTGAAAGTGAGTGCCATACTCTAGATCTGTAACATTTATTACACTGCATGACTCTTTAAACTAAATGCTCAATGTGGAATGCGACAGATAGAACAATTGATGTGAAAAGGTCTACAAAAAATCAGCCATGGATTTCAACAGTTACTGTTTTTGAGCAGGGACTTGACTGGGCACAATCACATCCTTTTAAATCTGGGAATCCCCCATGTCTCTGTGGAATTGCAACAAATGACTTTTTTTTTTACTTACCTTCTGTTTTTCACATTCAGGTACCCCTTTTCACTTCCTTTTACAATGTAAAACAGGGAAGCACTAAAATTTAAAATATAAAAATTTTAAAAATGACAAAATTACTTTTGTTCTTAATTCTTTTTCTACCTTTGTTTATTGGAGAAGGTGAAATGAGTTTCGTGATTCACCAAAAAAAAAACAAAAAAAAACAGCAAACCTTTATATCAATATTATCATAAAATAACATACATTGATGGCAAGTTTGTTTCAAGTAACTAGTGACTTAATTAAACATTCTTATATATAATCATTTTTAAAAATAAAATTTATATAATATTCACTTCAAAATATATTAGCCAAATTTAAAAAAAATTGCTTTCCATACCTTCCTGAGATCTGTATGCTCCTGTCATGGGGCTGTCTCTCCATTGCATCCAATATTGCCTAAAATACAAGTAAATGGCACATTTTAAATAATGCCAAGAGTACACATAATCACAGTGAAAAAAAAAATTGATAGAAAATTGGAAAAAGACAACTACAAAAAAAATATCCTGCATTTAAGCAGTCTGGCAATATTCATAATATCTTACTCCTAGATGTGACCAAGTGACAGAAGTTAAATGCTAACTGAACTCAGTTCTTGATTTTCAATAAAGCAAAAGAATGGTAACTGTTAAAAAAAAATTAAACTTCAGCAGTTTTTTTAACTGCCATCAGGTGGTATTAAAATTAAAATGGGAAAACTGATAAAAAGATTACATCATTTTTTTGAAATTATCATTTTCATAGTAAACCCTTTCCTTTCATCATTATTTTCCTCACGAACACATGGGTGTCTATAATAAATGGCTGATTTGAAAACCAAAAAGTGCAGACAAGTGTGACATGTTCTGATCTTGGCACTGCATATCAATTGGCTGTAAATGTCAGAAGTAGTAACAATTTGTACACCTTGTTGCATTTGAAAAGAGCAAATTCTATCCGATATTTTAATCCTCTGTATTGCACATAAATAATACAGGACTAAGACCGTGGAGAGCCATTCATTTACAAGTTCACATAATGTAATTAAACCTCTAGGAGTATGTTTGCATATCACAATTTTTCCCTAATGCTTATATTAAGATATTCCATCAACTTTCAATAGCTTCCGTATTGTATAATTACACAACCAGATTACAGAACAATTCAATTGCCCTTTATGTAATCTGGTTTCCTCATATGAATATTCCGTGCACGTTTCCAGGGCAAATCAATCCTTGTCTTAACTCACCATATTAGTATCATAACGTCGTATTTCGTTTTCAAGTGATCAGTATATCTATTCACTCAACAGACTAAGAAACCCATACATTTACTGCTCTGGCAGAGATCTCAACTGTCCTAAGACATACAGGCTACAGCCCTAGCCATCCAGATAGCACTGCGACTATTCTTTGTAAAACACACAGTTCTTGGGTATATATACTATATATAAGATAAAGCAAAAAAAAATAATAAAATAAAATAAAATAATAAAAAAATGTATATATATATATATATATATATATATATATATATATATATATATATATATATATATATATATATATATATATATATATATATATTATACATATATCAAAAGTGAATCCTGTAGTCAGAAACATTGAAGCCAATATTAAGATACATTTGCTGTGAACCTCAATATGATCATAACTCAGACACCTAATTGATTTTACCTAACTTTGACACATGACTTGATTATAATTAAAAAGATGATGAGTTTTAGATATGTTATTTGGACATATTTATCACCATTATGATTTAAATATTAGTTACAGGATACTTGCAATAAAATGTTGCCAATTTTGCCATGAATTGACCATTAGTGGCTTTCCCTGCAAATCATGCACTGTGCTGGACAATTCTCAGATTGGCAAGATGTAATTCATTGAAACGGACCATTGGTGGCTTCCCAGTAGCTATAGGTGGACAAGCGGCCATGGGCCAGCAATGGTCCCACAGAGTGATGACCAGCCAGAGTCAAATATGGGTCATTTGAGCATGAAACACCAACAGATAGGGCCGTCAGATCAATTAACATGGCCGAAGGTGTTCTTTCATAAATCTTAAAATTGTCCACAATAAAATGATTGCAGGAGGAGCCACTTTTGTTCACTTAAACCAACAGTTTACTGTACCTATAGACTGATAGTCACTATATCCAAAGACATTCTAAGGAATTTGGTAGACATGAGTAGAAAGATCACAATGTAGAAAGTCAGTGCAGAAACACCTCTAAAATAATCACATAGCGTATAACAAAACCACAGAAAATATCTAAACACCCAAAAGACCAACAAATTATCAAAAAACGATCACACTGATGGATTGCTTTGCATTGTTTTATATTGATTCTTTTGAACGTTACAAACAAAATCATATATTATCCCCCTGCTGAAAGTGCCAAAGCTTCACCTCATGGGATCTTCATTTAAGCGCAGCAAGCATGCATTTCCTTCAATTTGCTGTCATTTTCATTCAAAACCCAGTACTACCCTGTTTGACCTGTGCTAGCTGGAGTCAATTTGTTCGTCCCCCCCCCCCCCCCAAATCCCACCCCCTTCCAACTCCCAGAGTTCAGCCAACACAAGGAAACCACTGACAGCAGTACCTTGACTTGGTTGTAGACATACCATTATAACCTGTTGCTTATGTATGCATTGCTTGGTGCATATCAGTGTCATACTTGACAATGTTAAATATCATTAAACTTGACACATTAATAAGATTTCAGTAAAGCTTTCTAAAAACATTGGATTGATGAAAATCGATGGATATACATGTATTAGCCTGTGTGCTTCTAAAAGGCAACCAGTTTGACAAAGGTGCATATATTAATGTTTGTGTTTAGCCAGAGTCCATGAAGTGATCAGTAACTGGCCAAGGCCATCTTACATTAGCGATCAGCGAACCATATACAAAATATTGCTTGGTTTGTTGGAAGACTAGATATTCTAAGATCGCATTCGCAACGAGTTGAGCCATGGCTTTACAAATCCTTGAACTAAATATGGCAGACGTACATGAAAGAAAAACCGCCTAATCTTAGTCTCTCCGCCTCTCACACGCCTCCCCATGTGTCATCCCTGCGGGGGTACAGTCATTAAATCTCGACTCCATTGGGACGACACATGGGGAGGTGTGTGAGAGGCGGAGAGACTATTAAAAGATTAGGCGGTTTTTTCTTTCATGAACGTCCGCCATATTTAGTTCCAGGATTTGTAAAGCCATGGCTCAACTCGTTGTGAATGCGATCTAAGACTGGTTACCTATCTCTAACACAATGTCTGTATAGTGTGTTAGTTCCACGGTTTCGTTAAAACCACAAAGGCTCTGATATTGGACCTTGTCCTCCTTGAAACTGGCACTTCCGGTTCTCCAACTCATAATGACGTCATATTGCGCCACATAACGTCACAATGTGTCTTTGTAGAAAAAACTCTGCACGAGCGACCACAAAGCGAAACCCCTTCTATATTGCCCTCTGTTAAATGACTTAACCAAATTTTGAATATGGGCAAAGCCCGATTAAAATGGTGTTTTAGTCCCTAGGTCGCCATCTTTGTCAGTTTGTCACGAGGGATATCAAAAAACAGACATGGGCTCCTCCACTGCTTCGATTTCTGAATTTCCCAGTCAATCTAAATGGTCATGTCAAGGCTAGAGTAAGTTTTCTTGTGTTTCTTTTTTGTACTTTGGAGGAATCCTCCCACCCTGATGACGGTCTGTCACGTGATGTGCCGCAGAAAAGTTATCAGGCGCAGTGCTTTAAATTCACTCCCGCTATGTTGACAGTTTTATAACATGAGCACGGTATATCGTCTTCTTTCATATGTCTACAGGAATAAACGTTTTGAAGGTCAAACTTGCAGATTCTCGATGAAATAATGATTTTCAGTTTGACAGACTGCCGTCAGAAATGAATACCAACACGCTGTCCGTTATCATAAGGGTAACAGCACAAATGAGTCCTTACATTGCAAGATTTACCAAGTTAAGTCATTTACGAGAAGATTCACGTTGTGTAAGTCATAAAAAATTAAGAGGAGGGTGGGAAGTGCTTCACGTTAACAAGCGTGCCCCATTCAAGCACAGACCGCTAACTTCACGTGTTGTTACACAAGTTCCGTGATAATTCCTTCCGCTGTTTTCTCGTCATTCAATTTCAGATTGACCTTTACCGGTGCTTGACACGTGACGTAAGGTGGATACACGTGTCTCGTGCCTACTGCAGGGTTGCATTCAGCTCTTTTTAAAGTATATTTTACAACATGTCACCTACTCATGGCGTCACACTGTTGCATGTGCTGAATGTTATTGTTTAACTATAAAACAGGACGACGGCAGTACAAAGCAATATGATTAACTCTTTGCAAAACTTCACCAAACTCTGCTTTGTTAACTGCATTCCGGTGATGATATTTTATCCGTACAGATAATGCAGATAACATTTGTGTAGTACACTGCATAGAGACATAGGTAACTGCCACCGATCACATTATCCGTGGTTTCCTTGGGAACGGACCGTGGTAAAGTATAAACAGTACCTGTTGAAGAACTATTACCAAGAAAAGTTCATGGACGTGATTTCCTTTTCAAAAACTTGTATCATTTTCAAATTTCTTGATCAACAATCCACACATGTCATGTCGTGCATTTTGAACAAGTTGAACACGCACTCGTGCGTTATCAATCAAGATTTGTCACCAAGTTTCCCTTTGGCAATGCTTAATGATGCATGTGGTGAACCGCTGTGCGTGGCAAGTACGGCGCGTCTACAGCGTGGTCCAGTTCTTCTTGTTTCCAGCACACCTTTCCATTGCAACGCCGGCACCTAGCGTGGCGTATTTCGTAACACCACTTGGAACATCGGAGCCAGTTTTGTCTTCATTGGTGACATGGAGGCAGCCAACGTCCCTGGCGTGGCTCCAGCGTGGACAAGATGTTTCCAACGGATGACCACCGATACAAACTAATTTGTCTAGAAAGTACACTTAGCTGTCTACCGTATGTCCATGTGATGGAAGTGATTTGTTTGGATGGAAAAGATAGATGTTACCCCGCGGTTGAAGAGAATGTTTCGTGCAGTCAGGAAAACAAGTCATTAAAACGTGATGGAAATCGGAGAATTTGTTGTCTCAGAGGCGCAGGCCTCACATATGTCGGCATCAATTTGGAGTTAACGGCTTTGAGTGCATGCGGGTTATAAGCCAAATAAATGTTTTTTTTTGTTCCATTCATTCAGGTCTTATGTATGCAAGTTAAAATAATGTGTATACTAAATAATATAATACTTCATTTTTATTATGCCTTGAAAAATCAATTAAATGAATAAAATAAAATTTTGTGGTTTTCATTTTGTGAATCCTCGATTGTGTATATTTGCGTAGCGTCCC